GTTTTTTTTTTTTTTTTTTTTTTTTTTTTTTTTTTTGGTGTTTTGAGACAGACTATCTAGTTCAGGATGGCCTTGAACTCATTACGTAGCCCAAGCTGGCCAGGAACTCACAGTCTTCACAATGAGCTACATATCCACCCCATTTAACATTTTTTATTGTTTACATTATTAATATTATTATTACCATTATTTTGAAGCAGGGTCTTGTTGAGTCCCTAAATGCCCAGGCTGGTTTGGAACTTGCCATCTCCCTGCCCCAGCCTCCCAGATTGCAGGGATTACCTGCACAACCATGCTGGCTGTGGGATTTAGGGAAGGGGTCTCTTAAACATGGAATTTGGATCCTGTCACTGCCCTGTTCATTTGGAACTCTGAACCTTGCATTTGTGAGGCAGGCAGTGGCACCACTGAGCTAAGTCCCCCGCCCTTGTTCATTCTTGAGGACCAGAGACAGACCCCGAAATCTGTTGGGGTGAGGAGGCTATAAAATCAAGAACCCTGGGGCACAGGAAACAGGTCAGTGGGTAAACAAGCCAGAACCTACCACACTCTATAGGACAAGAGAATGCTCAGAGTTCAATCCCAGTACCCCCCGCCCCAAAAGAATGAACAAGACTGGGACAGGGTACAAATACAGCTAGTCAGTGCAGGCATCAAGCCTGTGATGAGGGTTAGCGGGGAGGCAGGGGTGGAGCATTGGCACAGGAACTGCTTAAGGGGCAATGCCTGCCTGCCACATGTCCTTGCACCAGCATGAGTTCAGTCATGCTTTCTTGAAAGCTGTGGGGAAGAATTCTTACCTTTTCCAGCTTCTGGTGGCTTCTCCAAATACTTAGCATTCCTTGGCTTGTAGCTGCTAACACAGATCTCTGCCTTGATCCTACATGGCCACCTTCTTTCTCTATGGCTTTTGATTATTTTTTTCCATCCTTATAAATACTTTCATAGGATCTAGGACCCACCTTAATCCAGCATGATCTCAGCTCCATCTTTAAAATTGCAAAGATCTGATTTTTTGTTTTGAGACAGTCTTATTATGTACTACAGGCTGCCCTCAAACTCATGGCCATCCTCCCAAACTGCCTCATCTTTGAATGTTGGGATTAGAGGAATGTGCCACTATGTCTGGCATGGCTGATTTTCAAATAAAATCATATTCTATACTTTTAGGTGGATGGAAACTTTTGGGGACACTACTTAACCCACTACAGCATGACAAAGATAACAGGGATAAAAGGTATTTTTGGAAGGGCCAAAGAGACTTTTATAGGCCACGTGTATTGATCTCATAGCAACTAATGACTAATTTTATTAATAATTTGTGATACTGCTGATTAATCTAGGCCAGTAATAGCACATCTTTTAGAGGTTAAGGTGATACAAACAGCCTCTTGCGGCATATGTGCAATAGGTTGGCCACTACTGATCTAGGGTGTAAAGCATGGCTGGCAAGTATTTAACCACTGAGCTACATCCCCAGCCCTAGTCTTTGTTTTTTTTTGGGACAGAGCTCAGGCTGGTTGAGAACTCCTCCTACCCTCTTCTCCTGAATGCTGAGGTTATAGGCATGCACTAGCATGACAAATTCTTGTTTTCCATTTTAAGAAATTGTATGAGATTAAAAAAAAAATAGTATGAGATAACAGCTACACATCTTTTCATGAGGATTTTTTTTTTTTTTTGAGTCAGAGTCTCACTTTGTAGTTGAGACTGACCTGGAACTCACTATGTAGCTCAGGCTGGTCTTGAACTCACAGCAGTCTTCCTCACTCAGCCTTCTGAGTGCTGGGATTACAGGCGTGTGCCACCATGCCTGGCATTCATAAGGATTTTCTAAAGATTTCATGAATAAAATATGTGAAGTGCTTAAGAGAGTCTTGATGTGTAATTTGTGTTTTGATGATATAAAAGTAGATAAGTAGAATTGGTGGGATAGATTGATTCTTTTATAAAATTTAATTATTAACCTTCCGTTTTTTTTTTTTTTCCATTTAGGTGTGAAATGTTTCTCTTATTCTACAAGTATGATCAGCCTTGCATGTCTACCGTATATTTTTTCACAAAGTAATACTATATTTGGAAATCTGCCTTTACAAATCCTATTTTATGGTGTTATCGGAAGCTTTACAGTGATTACCCCAGCACTGCTTCATTTTGTTACAAAAGGCTATGTCATTCGGTTGTACCATGAGGCCACAACAGACACTTATAAAGCCATTACTTACAATATTGTGCTTTCAGAAACGAGCACAGTGTTTCACCAGAATGATGTGAAGATTCCAAACAGCACACATTTGTTTACCACATTTTATGCTAAAACAAAATCACTGTTAGTTAATCCAATGCTCTTTCCAAATCATGAAGACTATAACCATCTAATGGGTTATGACAAACCATTTACTTTTGATAAAGAGGAAGACAATGAAAAGAAACCGCTCGGGGATGAGGAGTGAGCCTGTTGTTTTTAGGTTTGTGCTTCAATGTAATTTATGTTAGCAGGTGTAAGATTGCCTTTACTTTTGTATTGTTAGTCATTGTTAAAAATAATTTGAAACTATCAGCTATTAATTTCCAGAGAATGATCCTTAGAATAAGCTATGTTTGGAAAATAAAAGAGGTCTTATGTTTGTTAAAAAGTGTGGATATCCATGCATGCTGTTATATGCATGGATGATGTAAGTTGTGATTGCCCCTATACTAGGAATCAGATGTCAGAAGCAAACAGGAGTGTTGTGTTTTTCCTTATGTTTGGATATTTCTAGGTGTATGAATATTCTTTTCCCACATAAAAACATTTTGAAAGTTGTCACTGCCCATAATAACGTCCATGTATAGTTTGTGGTCTGATGTAAGAGAAAGGAAGGAGCAAGGTACAATATTCCCTTCCAGGTCACATTCCCAGTGACCCACCTCTTCCACTCAGGCCCTCCTTCCTAACAGCACATTCAGCTGTGAACTCATCAATAGATTAACCCACTGGTGAGTTATACCACCTCCATCTCTGAGCACATGGGGACTTCTTAGGTATAAACCAACCACATGTATGAGGGAGGTGGAAGGGAGGAAAACAGGAGCATCCCTCATTCACAGGGAAAAGTCATTCAAGTCCAAGGTGGTTAGAAGCTTATTCATAGAGGATAGCTTGGGGCAGAAAAGCTATTTTCCTGAGATCTAGAGCCTGTCTTGATAGGATCAGCTTGATCATCAGACTCAACTCCCACCTGCATTCCTGTTTGCCACCTTATGCTCAGGTTGGGCCTCTACCTCCTTGTTCTCTGTCTGTTGTTGTCTGCACGGATGCCTGTTGTTATCCTGGCAGTGAATGAGATACCTTTCTAGAAAAAGTTACTTCATGATCACATGTTTATTAGAAAGTCATTCCTAGTTTCACTTAGGAAAAATAACTGGTTATCATTTTGAAGTTTTTTCAAGATCCCTCAATTTGTTTTGAGTATGTCTCTTTTTTTTAAGTCTTTACTGTAATTAAATGTATTCACAATTTACATAAATGTTTAATCTTCAAGAAACAAATTCATAAGATGCAAAACCAGGAAACAAGTTCATTAGATACTGCTGCTCTTAAAAGCACAGATGGTAAGGTGAGCTGCAAGGAACAGAAAGGTAATCTCACACTTAAGCAAGGTGTATGTAGCTCCTTAAGTGTCGTACTAAAATGATCATTTTTCCACCTATGGAAGTATTTTTTATTTGCTCGTATAAAAAAAGAAAATCCAGAAGACTAGGAGGAAAAGAAGCACTAAATGGGAAAGGTGACTTCTGAAGGTCATGGCTTGCAGTGAGACTAGGACATAGGAAGGATTAGCAATTATTTCTGAAAGTATCAAAATCAGCACAAACAACTTGGGCCACAAGGAAGATAAATATATGTGCTTCCATCATGCCACTGTGGTGCCCTCACCGCAGAGTTAATCTCAGCAGGGAGGGTAATGAGTCTTCCATTGTGTAGGAGCAGGGGTGGTGAATCTTATTTGACTCAAGGCAGGGTTGTGATTGGTAATGGATGTCTAGTTGCATTAACACTTAGTGGATTATATGCCACAAACAGCAGGGAAGAGCCACCGCCACTGTGCATGGTACCAACCAATAGACTTGTGGCCTGGACAGAATAAAAAGGAAAAAAAGAGAAAGTCTTCCCTTTTCTTTGGAGGAGTTCTGGTCTTCACCATTGTCTTTGGATGTTGGTTTTGTTCTTTCAGGCTTCCAGAACAGATTCTGGCTTTCTAATAGACACTTTGGCTTTCCAACACAGACTTGCACTGAACTCTGCAGTGAGCTCCAGGCCTTATATGCTCTACTGGATCCTCTGGCTCTCCAGCAGGCAGACAACCCCTTTATATAACCATATATATATATATTCTCCTGGGTTACATAGTTAGTTTGAGCTGCTCTGAACTACATAGTGAGACCTTATATCAAAAAAAACCCAAAAACCAAAACAAAATCAACCAACTAAACAAAAAAAGTTGAAATAAATGCTTCTCTTTATTTACTGGTTTTAAAAACAATTGAGCTGGATGTAGTGAAACACTCAGCCCTGAGAGACTGAGGCAGAGGATCTCAAGTTCAAGCCCAGCTTCAGCAATATAGAAAATTAGTAAGAACTTGTCTTAAAATAGAAAAAAATGTAAAAGTGCAGAGAGAGAGAGAGAGAGAGAGTGAGATTCTTAGCATACCATCCAATGATAATTGGATTTTAAAGTATGCTATTTGTGGACTTAAATATTTAACGTATTTCAACTTATTGCAGACACCATTTTATTAAATTTTTTATATGGTCATATAAGTAAACTAAATAATGGTACCATAAAATATTTATGGTATAATCACCAGAAACTGAATATTGTTATATGGCAAAAGGGATTTTACAGATGTAATGAAATTGAGAATTTTGAGTTTTACTCTTCTGAGTTATCCACCTGGGCCCATTTTGATCACGGGAGTCCTTATAAAAGGCAGGCACAGGATCAGAGAGGGTGATGGATGATGAAAGCAGAGATTTGAGCAGTGCACTTTGAAGATGGAGAAAGCTGAAAAAACAAAGAAAAGGCGTCTCTCCTAGGAGTCTCCAAAAGGAATAGCTCTGCTGACACTGAAACATTTCCCCTGGTTCCAAAAGTTGCTCAAGCTGCTTTTTAGGATACAACCACAGAATCCTAGGATCTGAGCTAAAATGACCTTGAGAGCCTGGGGAAACCAAAGGTCTCCAATGAGCAGGAACTGAAGAAGGAGATCAGTACCTCTTGGACCTAGAGTAGAAGCCAGGGGTATTGTCAACAAATGCAGGACAGAAATAATGGAGAGATTGGACAGAAACTACTAATTACAAAGTATCTGCAGTTCCACCTGGACCATGAGTGTGGGATGGAGATGAGACTATTCCACCGGGACTTCTGGTTATAACCAATCAGTCCACTACTTCCTCGTGCCCCCACCTCTTAAATTCCTTCCATAGGAGCCTGGTAAGTGAGGTAGATATGAGCAGGACTCCTGTCTCCTCATGGGACCTACAAAGAAACCCTTTTTTATTTTTTGCAAAAACTAGTGGCATAGTATTGTCTTCTGTGTGTAGCAAGTAGTGAGCTCTTGCTTAATATAAATGTTTTGACTTTATTCTGGAGAAACTTATTTTGGACTTCTGACCTCTAGAATATATAACTTTTTATTCCCTTAAATTTGTGGTAATTCATTACAGCTGCAACAGGAAACTAGTAACATTCGTCTTTGGTGAATGGAATCCTCTTCAAATATGATGAAGTGTTTCTGGCTCATCTTGTATGTTTTCTACCCCAAATCTGGAATAAATCAATCATTTCTCCATGGAATTCTGGTTTCTTTTAGTAGGAAATGGTTATTTTGAGATTTCTATGAGGTATTCATGGGTTTTTGCTTCCCTCTTCCTTTTTGGGATATTGAGATGAGGTCTTGATTTATAGCCTAGGCTGGCCTTGAACTTGCAATTGTCCTGCCTTAGCCTCCCAGAGTACTGTAGTTACAGTTCTTCAGTATGCCAGCTTGCCTTTTAAAAACTTTATTTATTTACTTATTTTGGTACTGGGAATTGAACTCAGGACCTTGTGCTTGCAAGGCAGGCAGTGGAACCACTGAGCTAAATCCCCAGCCCTAAAATTTCATTTTAAAAGTGTGGTAAAAGCATAACAAAATTTACCATCTTAACTCATTTTATTTGTTTTGTTTTGTGCAGTACTGGGGATCAAACTCAGGATGGCATGGGGCCACTGAGCTAAATCTCTGGCCCACTAATTTTTTTCCCATTAAAAATTTTTTTCCATTAACTTTATTGCTACATTTAAGATAAACAATACAGTTACATTCATCATTGGGATCTTGTACCTTTACATGATGTATCTTGGTTCTTATTTTTCCCCCATTCCCCTGCCCTCCCTTCCCTATTTACAAAGACTGTTTGCATTTTTTCCTTTTTTCATATTTTTCTTTTTCCCATATTTCCTTTCCCCTACCCTTCCCACTTCCCCTTCTCCTTTAGACATTTTCTTCCTGTTTCACCTTATCAGTTACACCATTTGAACCTTATTTGCACTTTTAGTTTTTCACACCAGAGAAACTATTCAGTATTTACTCAAGTGTGTACTATTTATTTCACTTGAGTATGGCTTTAATGTGTAACCATTTAGCTATAAATGTCTCTCTAGTTTCTCATTCTTTATTCTGGCCCACTTAACATACAGTTCACCACAGTTAATTATATTTATATTACTGTGCAACAGATCTCTAGAACTTTTTCATCTCACAAGGCTGAAATTATACCCCCTGAATAACTTCCCATCTTCCCCTCTTCTCATGGATTTTTGCCTTTTTAAAAATGGAAAAGTAGGGCTGGGGGTTTAGCTCAGTGGTGCTGCTGCCTGCCTCACAAGTGCAAGGTCCCGAGTTCTGATCCCTGGTACTAAAAAAAGGAAAAATAGCACAGTTCTACAGTAAATCCTTTTACCAACATATTATTTTCCTTTTATCTGTGCAGAGTTTTAAGTCACAACTCTTGTGTCATTTGTGACTAACAACCTCATCCAATAAAGGATTTCAAGTAGCACAATATCTAAAGGGATAGCTATTTCTCTAAGAGTGACAATTTTGAAATGAAATACATGCCATATTGAAATAATGATATTGATACTGGGACTTAAAATATTCCCTCCAGGACTAGAGGTAGAGTTCAGCAGTAGAATAATTCCTAGCATGTCCAAGGATCTGGGTTCAATTCAAGCATCAAACAAAACTAAGAAACTCAGAAGTAAAAGTGCACACTTTAACACTAGCGAGGCCCTGCCCAGAACTTGGAATTATAGGCTGTCCCTGTGTAGCCTTTCATCTTGCTCCTTCTGTTGTGAGGCTGAACCTGCTGCTGAGCTGAAATAGTTTGCATCACTGTGTTCGGTTCAAATCTGTGGGCTCAGTTCTTTGGGCCATGAGAAGTTGTATGAAAAGCTTTCAGGAGAGAATAGCAGTGTTGATGGAAAAGAGTGCATCTCTTGAGACTTTACTAGGACAGTAGATGCCCATTATCATTACTCCTGTTCAACACAGTCTTCAAAATGTTAGCCAGAGTAATCAAGCAAGAGAAAGAAAGAAAAGGGTGCATATAGGAAATGATGAAGTCAAAATTGTATTTGCAGATGATATTCTTACAAAAACTCCACCAAAAGACTTCTAGAATTGATCACCAAATTCAGCAGTGTTACAGGATACAGAATAAATGCACAAAAACCAATTCTTATATACTAGTAATGAACTTACTGAAAAAAGCAATTAGGAAAATAAGACCATTCACAATAGCATCAAAAAAAGTTAGCTACTTAGGTAACCTCAGGCAGTGAAAGAACTCTGATGAAAATTACATCAGGCTAAAAAAGGAAATCAATGGGAACATCAAAAAATGGAAAGATATCCCCTGTCTCTGGTTAGGCAGAACCAACATAATCAAAATGGCTATACTTCCAAAATGATATACAGATTTAACATAATCCTAATCATCCCAGTTATAATTCCAATGTCATTTCTCACAGAACTAGAGAAAACAATCCCAGGGCTGGGGATTTAGCGCAGTGGTCTGCTGCCTGCCTCACAAGCACAATGTCCCGAGTTCAATCCCTGGTAGCAAACAAAAAGAAAATCTCAAAATTTATATGGAATCAGAAGAGACTCAGAATAGCAAAAGTAATCCTAGAGGACAAAAGGAAAGCAGGTAGCATCATAATCCCAGACTTGAATTTATATTATAAAGCTACAGTGATTAAAATAGCATGGTACTGGCACAACAACAGGCATGTGAATCAGTAGAACAGAATACAAGAAGCAGAAACAACCCAGGCACATACACTTATTTGATCTGTGACAGATGAGCTGAAAATATGCACTGGAGAAAAGATAGCCTAAATGGTGCTGGGAAAATTGGATATCCACACACAGAAAATTGAGTCTAGATCCATGTACCGCATCTCATCATGTACTAAACTAAAATCAAAATGGACCAAAGATCTAAATGTTAAAACAGAAACCCAATCTATTGGAAGATAAAGTAGTTATTGGTGTGGGCAAGGACTTTCTGAACAGAACCCCAATGGCACAAGAAACAAAAACAACAATCAAATGGGATCATATCAAATTAAAAAGCTTCTGCACAGCAAAGAAAACAAAACAGTGAAGAGATAATCTACAGAATGGAAAAAAATTTTTTGCCAGCTATTCCTGGCAAGGGAGAATATATAAAGGACTAAAAAGAGACCTCCCAAATAGCCCAAATGTTCATCAGTTGATGAATGGATAAAGATGTATTAAAAAAAAAAAACAGTGGAGTGCTGCTCTGCCATGAAGGATGAGCTTGAAATATTTATAGCTAAATGGATGCACTTTGAGACCATACTCATAAGTGAAATAAATTAGACCCACATGTTAAAATACCATGTTCTTTGGTGTGAGAAACTGAAAGTGGAAATAAGGACTAAAATGTTTAATAGGTGTGAGTAAATGGTTAGAAAATGTTCAAAGGGAGAAGGAAAAAGGGAGAGAGGAGGAAAGGAAGGAACATGAAAAAGTGAAAATAGAAGGAAAGAATGTAAATAAAGCTTTGTAAGGGGTCGAAGGGAGAGGGGAATAGGAAAAAGGGAAGGGGCAGGATATATGATGTATAGGTGCAAATTCCTTATGATAAGTACTATCATTGTGTATATCTAAAATGCACCAATAAATGTTTTGCTTGAAAAAAATTAGTCCTCCAAAATAAGACTCAATAAAAAATGGGCAACTGAAATGAATAGACACTTCTCAGAAGAAGAGATTCAAATGGCCAATAAATAAATGGAAAAATGCTCATCACTGGCCATCAGAGGAATGCAAATTAAAACTACACCAAAGGCCAGGGATTTAGCTCAGTGGTTCTGCCACCTGTCTTGCAAACACAAGGTCCTAAGTTGGATCCCTGGTACCAACAAACAAAACAACAACAACAACAACAAAAACTACACCAAGATACCATCTTACTTCAGAAAGAATGGCAGTCATCAAAAATTCTAATACCAGTAATAACAAATGCCAGTGAGAATGTGGGGAAAAAGGAACTCTATTAAAACTGTTAGTGGGAATGGAAACTAGCATGGAAATCAGTGTGAAGATTCCCCAAAAAACAAAAAATAGAAATTCCATTTGATCCAGCTCTGCCTCTTCTAGGTATCTTCCCAAGAGTTAAAATCATTATATTACAGGGATACATGCATACCCTTGTTTACAGTAGCACAATTTATAATAAATAACTCTTGGAGATAGCATATATGTTCATGAACAGAAGAATGGATAAGGAAAGTATGGTCTTTATGCAATACAGTACTATGCTGCTATAAAGATAATCTTGAGGCATTCATAGGTAAATAGATACAACTTGAGAACATAATGTTAAGTGAAATAAATCAGACACATAAGCTTAAATCTTGCAGGGTTTCTCTTATATGAGAAACAGAACAAAATGGAAGAGAGCTAAATAGGGAAAAGGGAGAAGTTCAAATACTTTCCTCAAATTCCAAATTCCAGTGTTTTAAAAATCTTTCAATATAGGGCCAGGGATTTAGCTCAGTGGTGCCACCACCTGCTTTGCAAGTGTAAGGTCCCAAGTTTGATCCCCAGGACCTAAACAAAACAAAACAAAACAAAAAATTCAATATATATGCTAATTGATTTCATTTATACTACTAGTTTATTTTAATTCGTTGAAAAGAAAGATTTGTGATATTTGTTTCTTTTTTGTAAGAATCTTTTTTATGTTGTATACTCTGATAATTTTGAAGATAATGATACACAATGTAGTAACTTGTTCTCTTTTATTATTTGATTATGAAATTTTATTTTATTTTTTCGTAAAAGAAAACTAGGAGTGCAGTGGATTTATTTTTTCTTTTAACTGGGAAGTATCTTATTTTGCTTTTAAATTTCTGGTCACTTTCACTTTCACAATGTGTTCAAAAACACTAGGTTCTAAATCATTTCTCTGTCCTTCCATGAAGAACTCATGCACAGAACACACTGAGTTACACACATAAAAGGAGGAAACCACTGGATAGGCACTCAGAAATCATGTGACCAGTGACTAAGTTAAATCTTTCCTACTTATTGAAAGGGAAGTGTCTGATATTATTTACTTACCCTCTTTACATTTTTAAACTTTTAGAGGCATTGAATCATGCTACCATTTATGCTCTTTTCTACCCTGTTTTCTCCCATATTTACTGAGCCTGAAGAGCCCCGCTGGATCTGCAGCTCCTCAGATGCAAATATTTCATACACCTACTGTGGTAAGTAAAACGGCAGCAACAAATAATTGTAGCATCAACTATTTTGAAGGTAAGTTTTCACAAAAATCTTACTGCTGTCCAGACCAGGAAATACCTGCGTGTGTTTCAGCTGCTATGGCTCCTGCTGCCGTCAGCCAGAGAAGCAACAGTCACTTCCTTGTGTAGATTTTCTTAATACTTCACAGAGCTCACAGACCTCTAAATTGTGTTGTATTGTACCTGACTTCCAAGTGCTTTGGCTGTTCTCTGTGGTCCACTGTCTCTACCTGGAGCTTGGTTTCAGCTTCCTCCTAGTTCCAGTATAACTGTCTGCCTCTGCCTTAGCCCAGAGATTAACTGGTTCTTCTCGAGAGGGTAGAACAGTTCTAGCTGCTTCCTAAGGGGATTTTTTTGCTCCAGGCTGTGATTTTACTTCAGATCATGTCCCTAGTTGACCTGTCAGTTATTAGGTTTCTGGCCTTGAGCAAAAAATTTAGCCTGTGGTTCAGCTGTGGTAGTTGCAAAATGAAAGTGATTTTTTTTTAATGTAAGGATTGCTGTGTGGTAAAGTTTTTAACACAAGGTCACACAGAAACAGTAAGATTATTTTTTTTTAAATCAGCTATACCCTAATGCTAATTGTATAGAGTAGCTATACCCTAATTGGTTTTGTCAACCCCTTCTCATTAGTAAACATCTGGGGTCTGAAGCCACAGTTGTTCTTTAAGTTTAGTACTTTCCACAATGTTGCTCATGATGGTGGCTGTCATTTTCGACTCACTAGCCATGTCAAGATGGTACTTTCACAATCCTAGTCCTTTGAGATTCTTTTGGGGAAAAGTAGATCTATGGCCTAATGATCTGGGGGAGGTTTACAAATGTACTTTGAGAATTTCAAACTGCATTAAAGAAGTCTGGTTAGCTGCAAAATTTTCAAATTTATGTATTTATTTTTCTTGGATTAGGTGTTGACTATTTTGAGAAACTGGCGAATGGTAAAATATAGTTACTTCCGGGGGATTAAGGATAATTGCCAAGCGTGAGAATGAAACTCAAGTATGTGAATAATTCCCATTGGCAGCCTTTCTTTAGTTATGGATTATGCTAAATTCCTTTTCTCTCCCTGCTATAGCTACCATTCCCCACCTCTCACCCTCACTTCCTTCTCTTCCTTTGGTCCTTTTGTACCACATGGTGTTTATGCCACACTTTGTAAGGCCTTTAATGATAGAGCATTTCATATTGTTACTTAGCTTTTAATCTTTTAGTAACAATAGTTCGTCTTCTTGTCTTTTGATGTGATTTTCTGGGGAAGTACTTTGCTTGCTAATGCTGAGAAATCCTTAATACTTTCCGATTGCCCCTCACCAAAAGCACTGATTCCTCTGGATATTGTGATGTCAGTGTTGGTGACAGTCCTCTTTCCCATTCAGTCCTGACTGTAAGGATGATTTCTATGAAAAAGAAGAGGTCAATTACCATTTGGCCAAACTCCTGGCCATATATAGTGTCTTAGCTCTGACCCTTATATTAAAATGCCATCAACTGTGTGACTTAAACAACAAAAATTTATTTTCTCACAGATCTGGAAGCTGTAAGTCTAAGATTTAGGTATTGGCATGACTGGTTTCTCTTGAGGAACCTCTCTTTGGCTTTATTGGACTTATGTTTCAAAGTTTGTCCTCTCCCAAACTCATGTTGAAATTTAATTACTACTATAGGAGTATTAAGAATCAGGCATCAAGAGCATTTTCTATCCCCTTCTCTTGTCCTTCTGCCATGAGATGATGCCGCAAGAAGGCCTTTACCACACGTTGGCTCCTTGATCTTTGACTCCACAGCCCCAGAGCTGTGAGAAATCAATTTCTGTATTGTATAAAGTTTCCACCCCCAATGTTCTATGTATTATAGCAGGACAAAATGGGCACTTGCAGATGGCCACTTTCACTGTGTCCTCATGTAACCTTGCCTCTGTGTTTGGACACCCTTGGTGTCTCTTTTAATTAAATTTCCTCTTCTAAAGACACCAGTCAGCCAGGCTTGGTGCCACATGCTTGTAATTCCAGCTACTCTGGAGGCTGAGGCAGGAGGTTCATATGTTCAAGGCTATCTCGGACAACTTACTTAGACCCTGTTAAAAAAAAAAAAAAAACAAAAGTGGTGAGTGTGGTAGTCAGCCAGGCTTGGTGCCACATGCTTGTAATTCCAGCTACTCTGGAGGCTGAGGCAGGAGGTTCATATGTTCAAGGCTATCTCGGACAACTTACTTAGACCCTGTTAAAAAAAAAAAGAAAAGAAAAGTGGGGTGTGTGTGTGAGAGAGAGAGAGAGAGAGAGAGAGGAGGAGATAATACTCAGGCTGGATTAGGGCCCACTGTATGTCCTCATTTTGACTCAATCATTCCTCTCAAGAGTCTATCTCATAGTGCAGTTGCATTCTGAAGTAGTGGAGGATAGAATTTTAACATACGAATGCGGTGGGGTTGGGCGTTTCAACATATAACCTTCCTTGCTAAGTGTGTATTCTCTACCTCACCCATGTCAGCCTTCTGATTGTGTGTCTGCTTTATTTCTTTCTATACTTTGATTCCTTTTCCTTTTGTGTAATTTTCAGTTTTTTGTAGTTACCTTACGATATATGTTTTATAGTTTTGAAAGTCTGTTTTAAGTTTATAGTCTCTTAAGTTTGATCGTATCAAAACTGTACACTTTAACCTGCACACACACTTTAAGTTATTGTCATAATTTATCTGTTCATATATTAACATGTGTTTATTTATAGTGTTTTTTTTATACTTTTGTATTTTAACTTTTTTTTGTGGTACTGGTGATTGAACCCAGAGCCCCATGCATGCTAGGCAAGTAAGTGCTTTATCATTGAGCTGGATCCCCACTCTTAAAAAATTTTTTTTTACTACTGGGTATCTAATTCTGGATCTTGATGCTTATGAGGCAGGCAGCAGAACCACTGTGCTAAAACCCTGGCCCCTAAAAATTTTTAAAAGAGGTGTAAAGAGATTTATTAGGCAGAAATTTAAAAGTACACGCTCAAAGAAATAGAGTGTGGCCCCTCGAGAGAGAGAGGTGCATCATCTCCTCGTTTCTCTTGAAATGGAATTTGTGAGGCTACAGGATGTTCCATCTTGGGTTGTAGTTTACAAGAAAAGGATGACCTACCTACAGAAAGATAGTGGCCCATTTTACAAGCCTAATTAGGGTCTAGTTTTCACAAATGAAATTTGCCTGTGAATAGTTGGGTTTATAGTTGGGTAAATCTAGAACCTCCTACTTTACCATGTTACTGATATCATCCTCTGGGATGATATCTCAGTTGTTCTCCTTATATATATATTTTTTGTTGTTGTTGTTGTTGTTGTTGTTTTTTGTTTTTGTTTTTTTTTTT